CAAACATGGTATAAATAAAACACCTCGTGGGCAAAGATAAACCTTTCAGGATACCCTGAGTATGTAACACTGCTTCAAACCTCAGTGAAGCCCCTGGGAAAACTCCCATTGATTTCAGTGGGCCTTTTGCAGAAGACCCTAATCAACCCCCACCTTCAGTCATGCTGGGTGCGTCTACACGTGTGCATCTACTGCACGGAAACCGAAATTACTGCGCAGTACGGCTGCGTGTCTACACGTGCATGCCCATACTGCACAGTCAATATGGTGAGTCATGCCAATTTGAGCATAAATTTGATACCTGCATCATGCACGTGTAGACAATTTACTGCACAGTAACACTGTGTATGTGAACGGACTTTGGACTAATTTTAGTCCCAAGTCAGTCCACACACAGCGTTAATGCACTTTAATGCCTGCATGTGCAGACACCAGCTCATTCCCGCTTACTGTGCAGTAAATTTAAGCGGGTGTAAATGCACATGTAGACATGCCCACTAAGGAGATTCTGCCCAGGCAATTGTGATTGTGCAGGACAGGCAGGGAGGGGCCTGGCTTGTAACACTGTACCTAAAAGGCCCTGAATAGGTTCACTGGTTATTTTTTAATTGATTGTATCTACAGGCTTGCATTCTCCAGATGCTCTCATCCATCAGGTTAGACATTGCACTGCTTATTAAATACCAGCAAAGCCATGTGAGTCATCTCCGTGGGTGATCAATCAAAGCCCTGCTAGTGTACAAAGAAATCCATTGCTTTCGCAGCAAAGACTCAGCAGCCCGCTGGTTAAGCAGCTTCTTTTCTCATGACCATGTTCACCGCCCCCCATGCATTGACCTGTCCTGAGCTGCCAGGCAGTTTCTGTATTGATTTTGGAGCTTCTCAGCCTCTTGAAGGCTCAGATCAAATGTCATATCTCCCCCAAGGCTCTGATGGCTGCTAGACCAAAAAATCATAGAAAGCACAGAGAAATCAGAGAGAAGTAGGGCTGGCTGAACATGAGATCTTCTTTTCATATGCAAGCTATATAATACCAATATGCTGTTCCTTATCTTTCCTCAGACAGCGTGTGAGTGTGAATGGAGAGAGAGAGAGAAGGACGCACACACACCTTTGGAGCTAATCAGACATTTTCCGTTTGACTAAAAATAACTTTTGGATCAAGTGGAAAGATTTGTGGTGGGAAAAACTCCCGTGTTGTTTAAACCTTTTCCCCTAGTATATTTTAGTTGTTGGCCACCAAAAACGGGCAGGAAGAGGAAGTGGCAATGGCAGCAGCTGTTACAAGAAGGCTGAAAAACTGCAGCTCCTGGTGCCAGGCAATAACTAGGGAGGAGTTCATGGGTCTAAAATTAAGCTGGCTCTTAAGAGATTGATTCCCAGAGGTGCCACAACTGCAGCAAGCTTTGCAGCCACGTGTACCCAGCCTGACTGCCGGCCACTTTGCTCCTTCCTCCCTGTGTGCTCCATGAAAGTGGCTGCACCCATGGATAGGGCCTAAGGACCTGGCTCAGCTCTCCCCTGCCCTTTAAAAATCCATCAGTGAGAGCTTTCTTTGCATATGGACAACAGTGATGGTTTAACCACATTTACCAGTCTCTGTCACAAGAATGACACTTGACTAGGGTCAAAAATCAAAAGTCAGGCCCTTAAAAATGATGATTGCACTTGAAGTCATAAGAGTTTAATACCATCCCCCCCCCGCTCCCCCGCCACTTTGCTTTCTACTTTTTGAGTCTTCCAGACTTTCCTCCAGAAGCACAACAGATCACAGACCCTTTTTTTTCTCTTTCCAGAAAAAAGCCAAGAATCTCATGCACCTCTTGACTCCAGGGATGGAGAGATTCAGGAGAAATAACAAACCCAGCCAAAATTAGAAAACTCTCCAAAAAAAAAAAAAAATTCAAGAGAGCTGCTAATCCCAGCATCGTGATGCCGCTGGATGCGTTGTTCTTGACTTTGTTAACCATCTTAGGATCAGAGGAGGAAGTTGTGTGAATAATGAGGAAGTATCGACTTCCTTTGAAATCTCCCAAAGCACCGTCTCTGGCAATCTCCAGCGCTCTTGCGGCCCCCTTTCTTTTCACAGCCACCCAGGAAACGGGCTGGCTTGCCAAAAACAAACCAAGAGCTCCCAGGGCCAGCACTAGTATTGCACACCAGCTGCAAACTTCATCACAGGGGCTGCATAACCAGTAGGCATGAACAAACCATTGCACCAGCTGGTATGCTGTAAGGGTGACGTTCATGTCAGTGTACCGTTAAGCAATTAACCTTCTGACCTGGAGCTAATATAACCCTCAAAAGCCTTCCAGTTGGCAGAATTTGACAGTTTAATAGCAGAATCAGTACTTGACAGGCCAGCTTCTGATTTCAGTTATGCCCATTTATATTCATGGTAACTCTGTGGAAGTCAAGGGGGGGTTACAGAGTTCCCTATGGGTCAATAGAGGTTACCCCTCAAAGGTAAGATAAGGTGCTGATGAATTATCCTTCTGTCAAATGTGGGAATTCGGCGTACGTGCATCTCTATGACTTCTTTCCGACCCAAGGGATGCATTGAGGCAGATTACAAGCTCCCTTTGGGTGGAGGACATCTCTGCCAGCTGCCTCCATACTGAGCTAATACCCACAGGAGGTGACAGGAGACAAATGGTGTGCCGCCTGGCACAACGCTGGGCCACGAAGGGTTTGAAAATTGCAGTGGGCGGTCATCCTTTCAGATGGAGCCATGCTGAACACAGAGAAAATTGCCACCCAGGGCTAGCCCGTCTTTCCCAGGCTGAACACCAATGAGTTTGTAACACCTGATCAGGTAGGCAGATGCAAGAATCACCGAACAAAAAGGGCTGGGAAAAGGGCGTTGGAGAGAGAAAGACTTCATGCTTCAGAGGAGAAGCCATGTGCAGGAAATAGGAGGAATGCTGGAAGATGCTGGTCCAAACCTGAACACCACTAAGGGATGAAGAAACGGAGGCAGGGAAATACCTACAGGTGGCTTTGATGGCTTGCCTAATTCTTTCCTAGTCAGAGTAAAGAGAGATTGGGTTTGGGGACCCTTACTGAGTCCATGCATCTGCCTGCTTCCCCTATCCCATATCCTCTGAGCAGGAGGACTGCACATCCATGCCAGTCTATCAGATGGGAGCTCAGAGAAAGAGCGTGCTCTGGCCTGAGGGGCTCAGCACCAGCACTGGCAGCCACATTTGTCCCAAGAAAAGGTCCCACGTGCATTCAGGAAGCCCCTCGGCTCAAAACAGGAGCAGGACCCAGTTTAGGATCTAGTCCTGCAAGCTGCCCACACCCTCTCCCATGGGCTTCAGAGGGGATCATGATAGACAGATGCTGCAGGGGTGACTGTCTTTCACAAAGGCAGTCTATTCACTGCCAGCAGCTGGCCAGACCTGACACCCAGGGGTCAAGGTGGGAGCGATTCCTATAACTGAATCACGTGTCCTATCATAAGCTACCACGCATGCCAGCGTAGCAATGCCTAAATAACACGCCGTCATGCAAGGAAGCTCTTGGAGTCTGGGAGCCTTTATCCCTCCCCTTCCATACCCAGGTAGACGGGGCAGCATTGAAGCGAGAGGTGAGGGGAACGGTGCTGGAGCTAGCCAGAGGTCACCCTGAGCAGTGTGTGGGACTCACACTCAGAGCTGCTGCTTCTCCCAATTTAATCACAAGCCTTGCACTATTATCAGGGGTTTCCCTCCCTGCTCCAGCTTCTGGGGAGGCAAATGATGATAGGAGAAGCTCGGCTTCAATAGCTTCTTTTCTTTAAGCACACCTCGAGCCGTTTTATTTGCAGAGGACAGATGGAGAGAACGAACCCAGTGCACCACAAGTGCTCGAAAACTAGGAGGCCAAGAAGAAGAATCCCTTATTTATCATGACTTTATCCCAAACTCATTATTGGACACAATTGGGCATGCAACTTGCTGGGATTATTTGACCCCTGCAGTCTTTCCTGCCCAGAGCGGGGGGGCTGCCCCCGACGATCTCACGAGGTCCCTTCCAGCCGAGGCTGCACCCGACGATCTCACGAGGTCCCTTCCAGCCCTAAGCGTCTGTGAATCAGTGAATTTTTATAGTGTGCTTTTTGGGTGCTTGAGATAGCCAAAATGATCATCTTGCCTATAGCATTATATGTAATATAGAGCTATATAATGTAAACTATGCACCTACATAGCACTCTCTCTCCCACGCACGCACATGCACTTGTACAAGATAGCCCGAGACCCAACCCCACACCTCAAGTTCACAGCTCAGACCGGTTCGAAAGCCAGAACAAGAAAACGGGCTCAACAAGAAAACAGCCAAACCCCACTGATATCATTATTGTAACAAAGAGCAGATCCCGCCAACAGGAAAACTTCCCCTGTGACAATCGCCCATGCAGCTTCCATATAAAATGCCTGTATTTTCAAAGGCGGACGTCACGGGCATCGCAGCCACTCCACCCTGCTGAGCCCGAGCTCCTAAAATAGCCTCAGCTGTCGGGCTCCATCTCTCCTCAGAGCCATTTGCAGAAACGCGAGCCGAGGGTGGGGGGTTGCAGCTTGAATTGGCACCGGCAGGGAACAGAGAGAAGCCCAAGGGTAGGGAAAAGAAATTACCAAAGAGCAAAGCAAGGCTGAGTTTATGAAATAAGGTGAAATGCAAGACAAAAAACAAAATCAGTCCTTTCCGGCACTCCGGCCACAGGCCCATCCTCCTTCCAGGCTGACAGCTAATGGTACCAGTGGTCCCTGGGACCCCAATCATGTCCACGTTCTCCTCTGCAGGATCTTCCATCAAATTAATGAAGTGAATCCAAGCAAACGCTGCTCACCCCAGGGGAAGTTTCTCCCTCGACTTTCAGCCCCACACCGCTCGCCTCCAATGCAAAACCGCAGACCTTGCAACGACCCCTCACTTGCCTCCCTTGACCGTGAGTGCAGCCCCCTGCTCCCCCAAACCTGGCTGCTCCCCTGCTGCCCACCTCCCTGGACCCTTACCTGGTGTCTTGTCAGAGTCGGAGGAGGCAAGCGGCTCTCATCGGGGTGAGGGAAAGCAGATACCTACTGAGGTGACACAAGGGGAAAGGGGGAAAAGGGGAGAGGGGGACATGGGGAGACCTTGGGGGGCTGGTTTCCTCCCTCTTTCCCCTCCAATAAATAAAACAGAAACCCCAGCGATGGTGGGGACGTGCAGCGGGAGGTCCCCTAGTCCCCCTGCAGCAGCTGCACTGCTTGGGGCTCGGGCTGGAACACCCCCCTCCCCACCCCTCCTCTCGGATGCCCTCCTCCACTCAAATTGCTGACGTGCTTTGCTCTCCCCTCTGCCTCCGAGCTCCAAAATAGCCCAGGGAGTCATTTACTGGCGAGATTAAATTTCATCTGGTGGAGAGGCGAAAGGGCATAAAATTTTAGGGGACTCTCCAGGACAACCCCATGGGGTGGGGAACAAAATCATCGGAGTGGGGAGGGGGGTGCGGTGTGCTTGCACACCTGCATGAGATGGGGAACAGGCTATAGTGATGGGAAGGGGTCGGGACAGCTTGAAAACATGTACAGAGGAGCCAAGAGATAAGTGATTAACGGGGACAAGAGAACAGGCAGTTGGCAAAGTCTATCAGAGGTGCACGCATCTCCTTAGGAGAAACCAGAGAGAGAGACTCTCCACCACTTCAGATCCACGACAGATTTGCAGACTAAATGGTCCACTCGATATCCAGCTTTTTGGGGCAAAAGCATTGTGGAAAAGGAGCAAATGAGCAATATCGACCACCCCGGTCACCATTTTTCACCAAAAATTGCAGTGTGATTCTGTTTTAAAAAGAGACTGCCAGTTTGGTTGCAGAGGTGGCTGGCCTAGCCGCTTTGTCTCAGGGGCTTCAGATCGTATCGACTCTGTGCTCACATAAAATCATTCATTTTCCAAACTACCACTTCCTCGTGCGCAGCCCACAATCCAAGCATGCATCCCAGCGCATGCAGGAGTGGTGGCGAAAGCCCTGCAACGGGCATGTAGTGATTAATCCAGCTGATGATGCAGGAGCCAGTATAGATTCGAGCTCATTCACCCACAGCTCCGTTTGCTCGGCTGGGCTCCTTGGAGCAAACAGCAATAAATGCTTATTTTTAGCATGAAGGAAAGTAGATAACCCACTGAATACATGCTGAGAGCAGTATGGGAAAGTAAGATATTCTGACTCAACCATAAGCATTTCTTGGAGCCAAATGGCATGTTTAAACAGTACCCAAGAATTAGACCTTTTGGGTTCTCACCTAGTCTGAGATCTGTGAAACCAGAAACAACTGCTCTGAGTTATAGTTAAACTAAGCGACCGGCGTGAAATGATTACCTTTATGGCAGGAGTGCTTGGGTGGTTCTGTTCAACAAATTCATTTTCTTGGCCTGAAAGTAGGATCTGGTCTCCAAAAAGAAGCAGATTTCAAGGTTATAAACATATTTCTTTTTTGGTGGAGCTGTTGCAAACAGTAGGGTAGTTTGCTGTCTGCCTTAAGTTCACCAACTAGAGTCAAATTGTTTTTTAGGAACCGGACACTGGTGTCTGAGGTGAGGTTTCCAGAAGAGGGGATGCTGTTTGTGACCACCTTTCTTCCAAGACTGGGAGAGCATGAAGTGCGCCATCGACTAGCTATAAACGCATCATTTCCCAAGCCACCGACCAGCGTCCCACGCTATGAAATATGCCAATGAAAAGGGGCAAAATTGACATTGTGACTGAGTGATTCGTATTTTCCCCACAGTGGGGTCTAGTAGACACCAAGACAGGAGGCAGGGATTTGGGATTTCTTCTCATCTCTGCCACTAACCCCTTCTTTGGCTTTGGACACATCACACAGCTGCTTTACACTTTAGTGCCCCCATCTCTAAGATGACGTTAATGATAATTACCCCTCCTTCTACATTGCTTTGAGCTCTGTGGTTGAAAAGAAGTGTCATAGAAACCCTATGATTCATCAAGTGAAGGGTCCTCCTGTGAATTCAGCTGTTCAAATAGAGGTGTCCAGAAATTCTTCCTGATCTCATTTTTAAGATAAAATTTGTGCTTTAAGAGGATGCTTTTCAGGAGGAAAGCTAATTTCCATCCGCCTTAGAAGACAGCCTCACCGTAATAAAGTCAACAGAAGATCCCAGATCTTTTGGGACTTTAGATGGTGGATGAATAGTAAAGGGACTGTCTGCTGTATATAATCAATCCTTCTCTCTACACAGTTGGGAGAATGGAAGAAATATTCACGAGCAGTTTTGTAGGATTTGAACCACACCTACCCCATTTATCATTTGCTTTTCACAAATGTTTGCACATGGAAAGCTCTGGCTTGAAAACTGAGATGTGTTGAATCCCCAAACAAACGGGATTAAAACCAAACCCTTTATGAATGAAACCCGCAAGGAGTTTATAAAAGACCAGGTCATTCAAAAAAGACCAGGAGGCCAAAGTGACCAACCCCATTGATTGCAAATGGAATTGCAAACAGTGGATTAAACACACTCCCACCCAGATTTTCAAATGGAAAACAAATTAAGAAAAACGGCCATTTCATCATTGGACATTCATGAAAGTCCTCAAAGATTTTGTTGTTAATGAGTTACTCAGCTTGTCCGTCCTCTTGTTGGGAAGTAGCTGTAACAAGATTTGTATGCTTCATAAGACCTTTGCCTTGGCCAGTCTTTAGAGGCAGTATGGAACAGGAATTGCATGGATGGTCTTGGTCAACCACCTCCTCTTGGCTTTGGACAAGCTCTTTGTGTTGATGACTGTTGGCTGCATTGAAGAAAGCAGTCTTTGACTAGGCCATGATCTGGAGGAGGAAGAGTTGGAAGTGGTGGTTCTGGAGTGGCTTTGTACCATTTTATATAGGACCACCTGAGTGATGACTTTGGGCAGTTGCCTATTAGCCAGAAGGATCTCCATAGGGTCTGGCTCTACACCGCGTTCAATGCATCTAGGTCCGAGTCTCAACTGCTGCAAATCAGCACTGCTCCACTCAATGCATGATCACACCAGTTGAGAACTTCGCCCAATACGAGGTATTAAAAATGTATTGTCCAGCTCTGGTGATCATGGAGACATGCATTGCATATTGTACTTGTGACAATCAGCATATCTGTTGCTCCTTCATCTGATCTTGGAGCACTCTTTCAGGCTTTCGTGCATTCATTCCCAACATACCTGATGTACAAATTATATTTTCACGTTAGAAAGATGCTGCAAGGATGACTCTCTTTCACAAAGGTGGTATATTACTAACCGTTTCGAAAATCTGGATAGCTGAAGCAGTTAAAAACCTGGTTAGATCTGTAACTTAAAATCATTGTTCGACAGTCTGACCCATTTCTGCTGTGGTGGTTTTAATTCTCCTCCAAGTGCCTTGCTCACTCAGACTCCCTGCCTTCTTTCTCACCTGAGATGTGGTCCTTTTATACTCATTAGGCTTAAAATGGAGAAGACGGAAAAGTGGCAGGGTTCACGCAACATTCCCGAACACAAAGTACAATTATATTTTCAGTCTGGAAAAGCCAAATGATGGGATCAGGATCTATTCATCACTCCACCGGGAGGAGATTGTCACAGATCTTTTTTTCCTTTTCCTCACAACGGAGGACAGAAAGTAAAGGAGAACGTGCTACCTGACTGTGAAGGCAAATGGGACGCAGCCAGACCAGATGTTGTAACCCCACCTGGCATTTGATCTGGACACTGCAGTGACGCAGGGCCACCTCAGTAAAGGGTGTAGGGCCATTTTATGACCTCAGAAGAGATCAGGACCTCAGTTTTTACATCTTATCCATAAAAAAGCTCAGCACAATGCCTCTTGGCACAGGGACTCAGACAAGAGTCCTTCCTGCTGCATGCAGCTGTATGCAGCAGTTGCAGAAGACAGGTCACTGAGGGCTTCCACCTGAACCCACCTCGTAGGAGAAGGCCCGCATTGTTTTAAAGAGTCATAAGGTCCAACGTTGCATTCAGAAGTCTAGGACTTCAGAAATGACCTTGCTATCATGGTATTTTCTTGAACGCTTCATAGCTATTATTGGACAGCAGGCTGTGCAACAGATTTGGACCTGACCGACTCCAGCAAATAGGTATCAATTTGACACCTCCGTAGCAGTGTTACTCCCCATCGGTTCTGCTCGGAGAACAACTGCACCTCTCCCCCAGATGGTTAGCAGTCAACGGTGTTTAATTCATGCCCTCTGTAAAGCGAATGGTATATTCCACGCTAATCTCCAGGGCCTTTTTTTTTCTTTTTTGAGTGACAGAGGCAAAAGCTGTACTGATCTTTTATTATAAACGGTGTGTAACCTTATCAGATGTTTAGCCATGGCATTATGCAGACGGCCATATTAAAAGGGAAAAAGGACATTGTATTTGATAGTTTTCACTGTCCATAGGTAGTTCTGATTTATGCAAAAGCAGTCACCTACGGAGGAAAAAAGCTGTGCAAAACCTCTGAAAGCTAGACAAAACTTCCCAAAGCGATACAAAACTTGCCTACATTTTGGCTTTCATCTTAAAATCTCAACCCAGGGTTTGTCCAAAGTTTGTACAAGACTCTGTTCAGGGCTCCAGTATCTCCCAAGAGTTTTGAAGTCGCCTTAAAAATCAATCTGTTGTCTCATGTCTAAACCAAGCCAATTTGCAGTTTCTCATACATTTGATAGGAAAGGAGATAAAACCCAATGACTTTGATGAGTCCTTTGGAGTCTATTGAGGCATTCGCATTTTTAGGCTTGTCCCAAACTGAAGCTGGGAGCGAAACTCTGTGACTCCAGTGAGGTCGACAACCGAGGAAGCCTTTCTACGACCCCCTGCTAAGTAAAACCAACCCCGCGTGGCTGTAGTATATGAGACCAACAGAGATGCAGTGAACGGCAGCTCCTCACTCATAAAGCACGGATTCTTCTCGGCTTAAGTGAAACAACAACGTCTTTCATTTCAACACTGTGCTTTCTTCAGCTCGTGCTCGGCATTTTACATGCTCTGCTTCCTTTGTAATGTATATATTGTAATGAGCCAACTGTATGCTCTAGGATTACAGAATAATGACAGGTTTATTTTTACCAGAGTCATGATTAGCAGCCCAGCAACTTCGCTGGCTATGATTACTAGACCAACCGGGGACTGTAACTTCTTTGAACAACACAGTGAAATCCAAGAAGTACCTGCCTGGTGAAGTCAGAGAAGCTCAGTTTGGAGCTCCTGTTTTTTCCTGTAACGCCCTTCATGGTCGGCACCCTTTATTTCACCCTGCCCGATGAAA